AACTGTATAGTGTGGAAGTTCATTTTTCAGCTTAATTGCAAACTTTGAAGATGTAATATGGGCGAGTAAACTCCGAGGTCTTGGCAAGTGTTATCTATGGAGGATATGGTAATTTTACTATCACCCTATGGTCTTTCTGGAAGTCTAGAAATGCAAACATTTTTAAGAGCACATATATTGCACACCATCTACTTTAGGATTAAATTATTGTGCCAGCATAATTTGATGTAAAGGATTAAACAGAGAAAAAACAAGTCCATAACATAGATCTTCCAAACAATCATACATTCAACGATTAATTTTCTTTAGATGGCAGTAAATAAATTTCATAATGTGAATCATAGATTATTTATTTCATAACAATAAATACATTTCTAAATTTTCATTCTTACCCAAACATATTTAAGCGAACACGTGTTGCACGGCATCTTCAAACATATGTTGCATAGCATCTTCTCTAGGAATGTATTACTGTGCCAATAAAATTTATTTTGTCCTCGCCAGCTTCATAGGGTAATTTCATATCAAAGGAAGATCTGGAGAAAAAATGATTCCATTCACTAATCTATATGACATTGATCTTCTAAACTTTTATCGAATCTTTCTTGAAAGAAAAACAGAAGACATTAGGAACGTCCGAGAGTCGTTTTAAATTCGACACATGCCCAATCCCTCTCTAAGAAATTATCCCACAAAGGCTCCGTGAGTTCTAAAGAGGTATATGCATGTCAAAAAGATATACAAACTAGGCTGCACATAAATAAGGCCAGTTTCTACTTTGGGAGGTCATAACTTATTTATTTTAAGGCCAAAATTAATGATCTATATCCAAATTCGAAGTATTCTCAAGGAAAGACTGAGCCAATTACACCAGAATGTACAAGGTTCAATTGTGCAGAAAGATGAATTACATGAGTTTGGATATATGATCTTTAATTGTTGTTTGCAAGATGTGGGATTCATAGGTGATCACTTTACATGGAGAAATGGGTGAACATGTAAACAACTGGATCATGCCCTTCTGAATAATGAGGCTATTCAGCTTTTTAAGAATTTCAAAGTCTTGTATATTAAAAGAAGTGGTTTGGATCATTGCCCTATGTTGATAAATTGGAATGATTCTGAACAAGCGGGGCTCAAGTTCATTTCGTTTCTTAAAAGGAGCAGGCGAACAAATGGACACACAACAGGCCAATTAGTCTTTCTACTGTGTTCAATGAGATAAATCACCTAAATTTTAACGATCCATCTTAACCAGCTATTGCCTAAGATAATTTCACCATATCAGAATGTCTTTGTTTCCAGATAGATTAATGATTGATAACACTCTTCCAGTGCAGGAAGTTTGTACATTTAGTTGACCTTAAAGTTGAAAGGGTTAACACTAAATCTGGACATGCAGAAGGCTTATGACATTGTAAACTAGCATTTTTTGCTCAAAACTCTGTCTGCCTTCGGCTTTGATGAACTGTAGGCGACAAGATTGGAAGATGTATCTCAGGTTGCTGGTTTTTCATTCTTATTAATGGTGAGTTATCTGGTATTTTCCAATCCAGTGGAGAACTTGGACAAGGAGATCCTACTTCACCTTCTCTGTTTATCGTTAAGTGCTGAAATTCATTCTCATGGGCTTCAACATTTGGTGGAAATATATCCAGAGATTATCTTTGGACTGATGGCCAGCTATCTATCTCCCATCTTTCCTTTGCAGATGACATATTCATTTTTGTTTACGGGCAAAAAAGTGCAAGTGAAAAAATTATTTCTTTTATGGCCTATTAGGTAGATATATCGGGACAAACGATTAATAATAATAAGAGTGGCTTTCTGGTATCCTGAAAGGCTACAACTCCTATCATTCGCAAATGAAACGTCTCACGGGAATCAATCAGCAGACATTGTGACATGACCCATCTCAAATCACCCCAGTAGACCCGATTGTGACGTGCGTTGATGATAGACGCTGACTAGATGTCAAATTCATCATCAAAGCTCACTATAAGTTACTAAAAAATATACAATAAAATCATATGTTTATAAAAACATAGTGCAATGGGCCCAAAACTTTACTTCGTGGTTTAATCAAATTGACTCATATCTTTCAACATGTCGTGTGGCTCTAACTTTGAAATCACCAGGCTCCTCAAACTATCAACGGCCAATATTACCCGTAAAAATAATTTTAAAAAAATATGAGTTGATAGCTCAGTGAGCGAAATAGTTCGAAAATAATCATACTTTCTCCTTTATACATTTTTATCAAACATCGAGTTCATATCATTTAATATTTCACATGATAGTCTTATACAATTATAAACAAAAAATGAGACACTCTCATAACACTGTAAATGTCATCTTTTAATTACGATATAGTCATCAGCTGATATCTATACTATCATCTCATCACATCACATATGATGCACCAAAAATGTACCCTCTAATTAAAATCTAAAATCCACCCATCGAGCCAAGCACTTTCGCCACGGGTTTTTGGCCCCTTCCGTGAATAGAAATGGGTCTTAAAGACCTCTGATAATCAATTCTAGAATACAGCCAAGGCCTCTCAATGAACTATATGTACATGATCACGACCTCTTCATCCCCAGCCGACTCCTCAGTGCAGTATAGAACATGGCCAATGCCCTTCTGTGAATTAGAAGAAATATATAATCACGAGTACTTTTCTGATCGATCTCAACATTACATAATTCACAATGTACCATATACAATATCTGAAAGTCCACATGTATCATAATAAAAGATATTCCATAATAACCATATAATTCGAACACATAATTGCACATATTTTGATAATATACTTAATTTATAAATATTTTAAAAATATTTATATTTTTTCACTCGCAGAACGATGTTCGCAAAATTAACTCAGTTGGTAAGCTGTTTCAATGTTAGTATCGCCACCTAAAATATGATATGATTTTTAAATCAACGATTAATTATTTTAAAAAATTTCAATAATTAAATAGGCAATGCCCAAAATTAATCATTTCACGTTTAAGCGATTTTCACAGTCTCTTTAATCGCTAAAACTAGTCTTTCTTTCACTTTACTCATTTTCATAGTTTATTATACTTAACCCCTTCAATAAAATTGAATTTAATCTAACAACTATAAAATTAAACATAACTTGACAATAAATAACATTTTACTTACCTTTCAAAATTGAGAAATTCAAGTTTAATACTAGAAATCACTTATTTTTAAACTACCTTATCAAAATTTCCCCCTTTTTTTCTTCTTCTTCTTCTTTTCTTCCTTTTTTGTCCTCTTTTCTCTTTCTCCTTTTTCTCGTTTTTTTTTCCCTTGCTTCTACCGTTTCCAGCTGTCTCTCTCTTATATCATATGAGAAATGGATATTAAATAACATGCCACCCGTCCAGCTCTCCCTCACTTGTGTGTATGTGTCATAAGTAAAAAAAAATGGGATATTAGTTAATAACTTGCCACATGTACTCCCCAAACCCATTTTTACAATGGAAGTCCCTCTTCTTCAATTAAATATAATATTTAGTCATTCAACTTCCATTAATAGAAAAGTAAATCCTCAAAATTAAATTTCATCCATCTTAAACCTTTAAATATTGCCAATTTGTAAAATAAACTCCCAAAAATAATTTGGTCAATTCAAGTCCCACTAAAATGATTTACTTCATTTAAATCCTCTTTTGACTTTAATTTTGACTTTGACTAGTCAAATATTTGATTTTGAATAAATAGTATTGACCTTTGACTAATACAAAATGGGATGTAACACATTGCCCTTTGTTTATCTGGGGACGCCACTATTAAAAGGAGCTAGAAAGGCTCACTGTTTGATGGAATGCTAAAACAAAAATAAAGATAAAAAATAAAATAAACCTTAAAGAGGAAGACTCGAAGTATATTGTGCTAATCAGACTTTCTCCTGGAGTTCGTATCACGCTCATAAAGTCAGTTCTTATTTCTATCCCCATTTACATAATTCAGGTCATTTATCCCCCGAAATATGTGATAAAGAAGTTCGAAATGACAACGTCTAGTTTTATATGGAGATTATCTGAACATAAAAAACACGCGCATTGGGTCAAATAGAAATCGGGCACCCTACATGTACAATTAGAGTTGACAACCACACACATGGGAAGGGGCTCACGATGAATAAAAAAATCGTAGCCCCCTCCCCCCTCTCCCCCGGTGAGTAGGTTGTCAACCCCAGTTGTAAAACTAACAAAACTCAATGGAAATCGACATGGTTCCCACTTTCTGAGGGTGGGTTGGGCTTTCGAAGTAGAATAAAGCCACTTGTAAACTCTTTTTATACATCATTGTGCACATCATCCGAGTTGGAATGTGTGATTGATGGAAAGCCTGGATTTTTTTTTAAACTGTCAAATCGGAGCTTGATACGTGGCGGAGTGTACACAAAGCTATACAATATGATGTATATGAAACATAGTTGTTCCAAGTATGAAAGACTTAATTTGGGTGTTTTCTTTTAAGATGAGGTGGATATTTCTCTCCCGGTCATCATTGTGGCTCAATTTCTTTTCAACAAGTATTGCAAAAACAATCACCCGAGGCTTTCTTTGATCCCTTCTTCAGCTTTCTCCAACTTGGAAACATACAGAGGTTGTAGTAGACTCGACTGAGCCGCACTTGACTTGGAAAATTGGAAAATGGGAGATGTTTTTTGGAACGATCATTGGATAGGTAGATGGATCTTGTGGAATCTTTTTTCGGATAAGTGTCACTTGATGAAGGTAAAAGATTATTTGAACCAAAGAGAAGGATCATAGATAAACTTCAGCAAGAACTGCCATTGCTTGGATTTTCAGTCCCTTATTATTGACTTTTCAGCAAGAACTGCGACTTCGTCAATTTGAATTTGAGTTTCACAGAAATTATAACTCTGAGAATCCAGTTTAAATCATGACAACATGAAAACCTTCATTCGACTAAATAAAGTCACTAGGTTTGGTGTCTTTGAGCAGGCAAGGAAAGAACAAAAGTAATATATTACCATTGTATTCTTGGTATATAATGAAGGTAAATTGAGGTTAGATTGTATTTTCTTTCAAAACTGTACTTGAAAGATCCTTTATTGAATTGGAAATATCTACAAGAAAATATGATCATGGATCATTATAAATCATGTCTGCGCAAAACTGCGCTTAAAGGAACTTCATCTAACAATCATGATCCCTTGATTTTACAAAATTGCACGGCTCATGCATCCCAGACGCTTCCCTTTTACCAGCTTGAAATTCCAAATTTGAACAGTATACGGGATTTTTCCATGTGTGCCGAACTTCTTTGAATTAATCACGTCCTTTAGCGTGCTGCTTGATGTGCTTTACATATTAAATGAGGTAAAAGGTTCCAAATTCTTGCAATAGCACATGCTCATCTCGGCAACTTCTAAGCAGGCTCGTAGAGACCTAAGACATGGCCGTCAACACACCTCATAGCCACAACCTGGTAAAGCCAAGACAGGAATAAAGATCAAGTTTTCCGAATCTGAACACAGGGAATAGAAACTCGGATAAATCTTTCCAAGTAGTCTATGGTTACAAATTTAGCGTTAGCAGGACCTATTATGACATCTTTGCCCATTGAGCATGCTTGGCTAAGCTTAAAAAGTCAACTTACAAGTAAATAAGTTTTAAAATATACAATTTTGCTTAAGAGTGAAAACATTTAAGTTATACAAATATGTTTGAAAACAATAAGCCCTTGTTTGAGGCCCCTTTTTTTTCAAAATTTACTTTCAACCACACACTCTCGTAAAAATAATTTCACATAAACCGAAAATTTTCCCTATTTTTTAATCATACATTTTACAAAAAATCAGTATTTCAAAACACATTTTCCCCAAAAAAATGGGACTCAAATAGGGGCTAACTTACCCAAAAACATGCTTGGAAACAAAAAGTGACTTTACTTATTTTTAAGCTTTAAAATAAAATAAAATGAATAGAAATTGCCAAACATGTTTGGATCCTAATATAAAATGTGATTCCAAAAATCTATATTTTACTGCTTCGGGGATTACCTTTCCATGGACTTCATATTTAATTGGACCATCCATCTCTGCACCCAAAGCCATCAGTTTTGTCACCGTACTGTTGATATCAGTCACCGTAAAGGATAAGAGTGACGAGTATCCCTTTTGCTCAACATGGTCACTGAAAACACAAGGAAAAGCAAATAATGCATTTATATGACAGTCAAGCACCCTTGACAAAAGAGATGGGATCAACCAAATCCTGCAATTATAAATGAAAACAAAACATGTTTGGATAAGCTTAAAAGCTATTGAAAATACTTTTATAAGTAGTTTTTCCCATATCTGTTTAAATAAATTTCATTCATCGTACAAATAAAAGAATTACCTATTTTGACCTTGCTTTCATTGATATCCGACTTTCACCTCACCAACAAAAGTTCATTAGTTTTGAAATTTATTTATTTAAGTTATACGTAAACCCATTAACAATTATGGAAAATACACTGTTTCTATAACAAGTTTGATCAATGAGTGTAACATAGTTTAGGAGAACCACAGACCAAGCTGGAGTACGATAGGGGCAGAGAGAATTTTCGGTGGAGCGGTGAAATGCATAGAAATCGGAAAGAACACCAACGGCGAAAGTACTCTACTGGGCCAACACTGACACTGAGAGACGAAAGCTAGGGGAGCGAATGGGATTAGATACCCCAGTAGTCCTAGCCGTAAATGATGGATACTAGGCGTTGTGCGTATCGACCCGTGTAATGCTGTAGCTAACATGTTAAGTATCCCGCTTGGGGAGTACGTTCGCAAGAATGAAACTTGAAGGAATTGACGGGGGCCCGCACAAGCGGTAGAGCATGTGGTTTAATTCTATGCAAAGCAAAGAACCTTACCAGGGCTTGACATGCCTCGAATCATCTTGAAAGAGAGGGGTGCTTTCAGGAACGCGGACACAGGTGGTGCATGGCTGTCGTCAATTCGTGCCGTAAGGTATTGGGTTAAGTCCCGCAACGAGCGCAACCCTCGTGTTTAGTTGCCATCGTTGAGTTTGGAACCCTGAACAGACTGCCGGTGATAAGCCGGAGGAAGGTGAGGATGACGTCAAGTCATCATACCCTTTATGCCCTGGACGACACATGTGCTACAATAGCCGGGACAAAGGATCGCGATCCCGTGAGGGTGAGCTAACCCCAAAAACCCATTAGTAATCTTTTTTAGAAATCGAATGGATTCGGTCTTATACATACGCGAGGAAGCTAATCAAAAAAGAAAGAAGATGAGTTCTTCTTTCTTTTATCACTTAGGAGCCGTGTGAGATAAAAGTCTCATGCACGGTTTTGAATGAGAAAAAGAAGTGAGGAATCATCTTTTCGACTCTGACTCTCCCACTCCAGTCGTTGCTTTTCTTTCTGTTACTTCGAAAGTAGCTGCTTCAGTTTCAGCCACTCAAATTTTCGATATTCCTTTTTATTTCTCATCAATCGAATGGCATCTTCTTCTAAAAATCCTAGCTATTCTTAGCATGATATTGGGAAATATCATTGCAATTACTCAAACAAGCATGAAACGTATGCTTGCATATTCGTCGATCAAATCGGATATGTAATTATTGGAATAATTGTTGGAGAGTGCCACAACTTCCTCCTATTTTTTTTTTTTTTTTGTAAAGACGAAGAAAGAAATTCTATTTTCTCGCCTATTTACTACGGCGACGAAGAATCAAATTATCACTATATTTATTCCTTTTTCTACTTCTGCTTCCAAGTGCAGGATAACCCCAAGGGGTTGTGGGTTTTTTTCTACCAATTGGGGCTCTCCCTTCACCACCCCCATGGGGATGGTCTACAGGGTTCATAACTACTCCTCTTACTACAGGACGCTTACCTAGCCAACGCTTAGATCCGGCTCTACCCAAACTTTTCTGGTTCGCCCCAACATTCCCCACTTGTCCGACTGTTGCTGAGCAGTTTTTGGATATCAAACGGACCTCCCCAGAAGGTAATTTTAATGTGGCCGATTTCCCCTCTTTTACAATCAGTTTCGCTATAGCACCCACTGCTCTAACTAATTGTCCACCCTTTCCAACTGTGATTTCTTTGTTATGTATGGTCGTGCCTAAGGGCATATCGGTTGAAGTAGATTCTTCTTTTTGATCAATCAAAACCCCTTCCCAAACTGTACAAGCTTCTTCCAAAGCATACGGCTTTCTGGATGTGGATGATGATATATATACAGATGGATCTTTTATATATCGTACAATGAAGTACCACATGGGTGGATATCTATATGAATCCAAATCTGCCGAATCACTCATGGTATGATCTTCTACATCCTAGGTCTTCCCGTTCCGTCATTTGGCTTATGTTCTTCATGTAGCATTTAGATCGAATGACTCTACGAAATTACGTCGACACTTCCATATATTATGGGTAACGTAGGAGACATATCTATTTTTCCCCCGGGGAATCTTTAGAATCTATAAGAACGGTGCATTCCGAGGTGTGAAGTGGGAGAGAAGGGATGTCATTATTGGGGTTTTGAATAAAATGACCTTTTGATTTTTCAAATGAGAGGTGTTAAGCTTTTTATCATCTTAGCGTCGAGCTATTTTTCCGCAGGACCTCCCCAACAGTATCGTCACCACAGTAAAGTTTAACCACCAAGTTCGGGATGGATTGGTGTAGTTCCTCTACGTCT